TCGGGGTGGGGAAGAGGACGGGGGTGGCCGCCCGCGCCATGAAACCCTTAACCCCCACTTCCCGGAACTCGCCCCGCAGCTTCCCCCCCCATAGATGGCGGCGGGGGGCGCCCCCACGCGTACGACTCTACGTGGAAAGCAATACCCTAAACATTTCAAAGGAGTAACGGAATATAGGGAAGTGGACTACAACGAAAAGCAGGCTGAAATACAGCACGGCTTTCCCGAAGGTACCTCGTCTCGGACAGAACAACTGTCAGTATATAGCTAAAATTTCCAGGCTTCGCTGAAGAGTTTGCTACGGTGCCACATCGGAAACAGCCAAACTAGGAGTTAATACAAAAACTGCGGGGATGCGCTCGCAAGGACACGGCATAAGTGTTGAAACAGCGTGCTACTGAAAACCACAGCTGATGGGCTGTGGGAGGCACTGGAGACATGGAGGAGGACAGAACTATTAGACAGGAAGCAGTGAATAACTTGGAGATACAGAGTAATAAAAATCAGCTGGCGTTTAATAGTACACGGCACAAGACCATGCACTGCGGGGATAAAAGCTACAATTTCTGCTGCAAACCCTCAATGTTTCAGCAAAAGAGGAGAGAAAGCACCTGGGATATTTGCCTTTTGTAGGATAATCAGGACTCAGTGGGGGGTGGGGGGGAAGCAAAACTTACCCTAGCATAGGCCAGTTGACATATTTCTAGTAGAGCTAAAAAAGTATTTACAAAGCATTGGGAAAAAACCCCAACACATCTGTTACACTGTTTGGTCATACACAGCCAAGAAAGATGAATTAAAACCTGCACACACACGGAGAAGAGCTGACCTTGTAAGAGGAAACTGTAAAGCTCCTCTTTGCCGAGCAAACACAGACTTGCCTTGTTTCACCAACAAAGCCAAAGCTGAGCAGGAATACGGGTGGGTTGCTTTATTTATGTATGTATTTTTCTCCAATAGCACACCATAGGGATAAATAACAGGAAACAAAAAGAGCTGTTTAAATTAAAGAATAACATTGACACAAGAATCAGATTCAAGGCAAGTTACCATCTTTTCATCTGATGAGATAATAATGAATTCAGAGCATTGCAGGAGGGAGGGAGGGGAATAAAACTGACTTGTTTCGAGATGGGGCTAGAAAGAACATACGTAATATGATTGATTGTCTGTGGTGGTACATAGTTGGACGTGAGGATCTGGATCTCTCTCAACATATTTTTCCTGTGTTTCTAAAACGAGAAAGAGAAATAGGGAACTCAAAAAGAAGTAGTAGCAGAAATGACGGAGGCATAACCACCAGTAAGGAAATGTCTCACTTGGAGGTTAAAATAGTGAATGGTCTCCCCTCTTAAGAATATTTCTTCAGCAATATTTCTGCCACAAATATTATTGTTTTATGACAATAACTGATTATTTTGGACAGTATATTTTCTGTTGCCCCATGGGTAAACAGCAATTCAATTACATGTTGAAAAATATTTTCTATTTGTAACATTCATTAGATACCAATAAAGGCAAAGATAAACTGCAGCACATACTGCTATTACAGATGTTAAAGTGTTAATAAAAGGTTTACACTTTACAGTGTTTGTTTACAAGTTCTTGTTGCACAAAAATGTTTGTAAAAACAAAGAGGTATCTCAGCTATATCTTAAAGATTGGATACCTGAGGTGTTTTCTGCCTCCTCTGATTTGCAGACCTTGAGTACTTGCCAGTGGAAGTGCAGCACTCTCTGTAGTGAATTTAAACCTCCTGACAATACACTTGTTCTTTTTAATCGCTTTTCATTGGTCCCACAGAAAGGGTCCGTGGGATGGGATTTTGAAATGCCATTTAAAGCCTGCTGGACCAGACTCCTGGGTACGTTGCAGGAATAACGAGGAATGCGTCTCTGAGTAATGAACGTCTAGGAGAACGAGCCCATTTACCCCTGATGAGAGCCAGCCTTCTGCTATCCATCCGCCTGTGTCTGCACGGTGCATTACTGTGCCGTGAGGATGGAAAATGTGGAAGCACACAGCCCGCT